GCGCTCTACCACTGAGCCACCTTCCCAGCCCCAGAACCTAAATGTTCTTAACTCTTGTATATATCCACTCTGTCCCTTGTTGCAATAAATGGCATTTTTGTGTACTTCATCTTTTTACTTTTAGATGTTTATTTTCTCAAATAAGACTGTAAACTTTTAAAATAAAACTCAGCCAGTTTCCAGCAACCTATGAAATGTTCCCTTTATTTACTGTAAAGATATTTCCAAATGTCTATCACTATCAGAGATGGTCAATCGATGTGCCTGATTTTTTCTTTGTTCCCAAAAGGAACTGTGGTATGGGGTGATGTCTCCTTCCTCTGTCTGCTTATATTGACGTTCTTGTTTGTAAACATGTTTTTTTCTTGGTAGCAAAGACACATCATGGCCAAGACCCCTTCATCAGGTAACACATAACCAACTGATAACACCGCCTTTCTGTATCCCCGACTAGGAGCATCTCCTTAAATCCTGTGAGTCGATTGACTCTCTTGGCTAGTTTTCAGTGGATGACTGCTCAGTGCAGCAGGCTGACGCGTTGAAGGATGGGTGCAGGTCTGGACCACAGGGGTGAAGTCAGTCCAGGCAAAAGCATGAGACCCTATCTGAAAAAGTAAGTTCCAAAGGCTGGGGGCATGGCCCAGTCTGTCACTGCCCCAGGCTCCAAGTTCAAGGACCAGACTGAGCATGCACAAGCATACTCGCAGTCTATTAAAGAGAACAGGCTCATAAATATATGATTGGAATGATAAATACACCAAGTATTCTGCACACAATGTCACAAAACTTTACTAGAAACATCAGGATAATATATATCAAGCCAGGTGCTGGTGGATCACAAATCCTACCTACTCAGGAGGCTGAGACCTGAGGATCAGGGCTCAAAGCCCCCACAGGCAGTGAAGCCTGCAAGAATTTTATGTCCAATTAACCAGCAAAAAGCTAAAAGTGGAGGTGTGGCTCAAGTGGTAAAGTACTAGCCTTGAGCAAAACAGCAGGGAGAGAACCCAGGCCCTGAGTTCAAGTCTTCATACAGGCAAATAGTAACACATAACTTCCACATCCCCTACTCCAAATGAAAAGGAGTAAAATCAAGAGAGCATATGCACTTTAAGTGGATGTAGACCACTACAGAATATTCCAGCAGTTGCTGGAACTTAACTGTAACTTTGAACAAATGAATGAAGATGATGGGACATTTTGCGTTTTTTTTTTTTTGCCAGTGATGGGACTTGAACTCAGGGCTGGGTACTTCCTGAGCTTCCTTTTTTGCTCAGGGCTGGTACTCTACCACTTGAGTCAGCATGACTTCTGCCTTTGCTGTGTGTGTGGTGCTGAGTCACACCGGCTTCATGCATGCTAGGCAGGCGCTCTACCACTGAGCCACATTCCCTGCTCCTGATGGGTATCACTAAGTATCTTTTTGACATTATATGAAAATACTTGATAACATGTTCACTAAAATAGTTGAAAACTGCTGGGCCGCGGTGGCTCACGCCTGTAATCCTAGCTATTCAGGAGGCTGAGATCTGAGGATCATGGTTCAAAGCCAGCCTCGGCAGGAACATCCGCAAGTGGCGCTGTGGCTCAAGTGGTAGAGCTCACCTGGAGCTGACGAGCTGAGAGAGAGCACCCGGGCCCTGAGTTCAAGCCCACGACCGAGACACACACACACAGACACATGCCCCACGACCGAGACACACACACACACACAGACACACACACAGACAAATAGTTGAAAACTCTTAAGAAACCTTAGATCTCAGCCTCTCATGTAGCTAGGATTAAAGCCACCAGCACCTACCTTAAAAATCCATTTGGATTCTTGGATGGCCCTTTAGTCAGTGACCATTAAACATGCATAAACACCACCTATGACCCGTTGGAAGCATATTTGGAATTGTACTTCGAGTAGAAAGCTGGGCGCCGGTGTGGGCCTGGACTTGAGCAAGGACAGCAGTGAAGCAGGTGAGTTGGGGAGGCAGTGTGCAACTTCCACACTCAGACGAGCCAGAGCAAAGAGCAGTCTATTTGGAGGAAGGAAGAGATGAAGGTGTGGGGCAGCCTGGAGAAAGTGCCATGCGGAGAAGTCTTCCTGCCTCACCAGAACTCCACGGCTGGAACCACAAGCCAGCCTGTCCGGAGACACCCTCAGCCAAATGAGAGCTGTGGGTCTGGGGAGCCGTGGCCAGGCCCGACTGTGACATCTGGGCCCACAGACAAGTGTGGAGTAGACACTGCAGGGCAGAGAGCTGCGCGCGTGCGTGCCTGTGGGAACACAGGGAAGCACTGCAGACAGCGCAGTCCGCTCCACGGAACAAGGGGCTGGGGCTGTGGCTGGCATACAGTTGCAGCCACTCCATGGGGGTTCCCGTGGAAGGTGCCAGCCTGAGCCCTGGGACTGGGATGCACCTGCCTCCTAGCATGTGTGAATAAACCTCGCCTGGGCCCAGCGGAAGCCGGGGCTCCTCAGCCCCATTCCCTGCGGCGCTGCCCCTACGCCGTTCATGACCCCACATGCAGCACACAGCCTGGGCTCAGAGCTTCATATCCAAGGGGCACAAATGAGGACCTCTGGGGTCCCCACAGATAGAAATCAGCCTGACCAGCCAGGCACCAATGGCCCACACCTGTAATCCCAGCTACCTAGGAGGCTGAGATCTGAGGATCATGGTTCACCACAGGCAAGAAAACCCTTGAGACTTACCTCAATTAACCACCAAAAAGTTGGAAGTGCAGCTCTAACTCAAGTGATACAGCACCAGCTTGATCAAAAAGCTCAAAGGCAGAGCCCAGGCCCTGAGTTCAAGTCCCAGGAATAGTGTGCATGTACACACACACACACACACACAAACACATACACAAACCCCACCTAGTACAAATGTAACCAAAGAGGTGAAAGATCTGTACAACAGAAATTATAAAGCACTAATGAAAAAATTGAAGACACGAAAATGGAAAGGCATTTTGTATTTAAACAATGAAACTTTTTTTTACAATATCCATACCCACAAAGCATTTTACAGCTTCAATGCAATCTCTACCAATCTCTACCAAAATGTCATTCTTTACAGAGAAACAAAAACAAAAATCTATGTATATGGAACAAACAAAACCCTGACGTAGCCAAAACCATCTTTACACACAAGACAGGAGGTAGTACACTACAAACGCACAGCATCAAACAGCAGAGAGACGCAGACAGTTCTGCGAGCAGGAGCAGCCGACTTTTCTTTCCGAGGTCAGTGAGCACACGCACACTGCAGACACCTGATCAACTGTGGACCCGGCAGTAGTGCACACCTGGAGTCCCGGCACTGCGAGGCTGAGGCGGACAGACGGCGAGGCGGAACTCCGCCTGGGCTCCGCAGCCCAGCGTTCAACGTTTGAGGCAATCCTTCCTTTAAACATTACATAATTTATCCTTGGATGGGACATCAGTGCATAAGATGGTAGTTGTATTCTCAGTTTAATTGTAAAAAGATCAAAACAGCAAAACATAAATTTTCAAACTAAAAAAAAAAAATCTGACTCTTCTATTTAGGTGAGCTTGCTCCTACATAGACAGGCAATTAAGGTATTTATTCATTCTCTTGATTTCAATACTTTGGTCTTAACAGAAATTAACTAATAGGGCACCAGGGACTTACCCCTGTCATCGTAGCTACTCATGAGGCCGACATCTGAGGATCTCACTGTTTAAAGCCAGCCCAGGCAGGGAAGGTCTGTGAGACTCAATCTCCAATTAAGCACAAAAGAAGAGATGGAAGCAGGGCTGTGGCTCAAGTGGTAATGCGCCAGCCTCGAGCAGAAAAGCTCAAAGCAGCACCCCTGCCCCCGGGCCGGCACCAGAGCCAGCACGCACGCACGCACGCACGCACACACACGCAAAGTAGTTAATACTTAATACATTCTCCATTTTTGCCAAAATAATACTTTGCTAAACTGTCTCCAAGATGAATTATATGAAGTTGGCCAAGAAATGTAAAGGTCAAAGGGTTAATATACAGGAAGTAGTTACAATGCCTATTTGTGCATCTTTCTTCTGCTTTTAAACTATTCCATAACATCACTAAGTTTTCTCTCTTCACATTATGGTCTGTAGCCATCCGATTTTGCACGGCCCTTGAACAATTATAGAGAAAAATTTTCAGTAGATCTCCATTTCAAAAACCTATATACAACTGTTTTCATTGTTCTATTTTCCGTTTAGCCACAACATTTTATCAAGGGCCAAATTTTTGAAAAAAATCTAGAAACCTAACATTTGTTATTTTGCAGGTATTCAAGACACTTAGGCACCTCTTTATTAACATTTATGAGGCTCTTTGGAGACAATGCCTATTAAAAAGTGAAAAATAGAAAATCTGGTTAAAATGTCATTTGCTGCCTAAAAAGACCTAATATATACATAAATACATAAACACACATCCAACCAGCCAGTAGGAAAATTGCAATTAACAAAAATCCCTTTCTCCGTTGCCACTATCAATTATTTTTAAATGTACATTTAAACCTTCTTTCTGGTTTATTACAAATAAATACACTTCCATTCTTTAAGGATCCAACATAGTTCAAGAGAAAAATCTTATTAAGAGACATTACTTCATAAACTCGCTGTTGCATGAAGAAAAGTTAGGTCAACATTTAATTTCAAGGACAAAATTTAAAATTCCACTGTGGAGTTAATCCGGCAGCTCAGGAAACTACAACTACAAAATGCCTCGATCGAGTTAAATGGGGCAGAGAGACACACACTGCCGGTCGCAGTATTTCCTCCCGGGTCCGTCACTTCTCAGAAGCCTCGCTCCTTTGCACGCGACAGCCCCTGTGGCCTGGCCTGGAATCCTAGCTGTTCAGGAGGCTGAGATCTGAGAAAAGTCCTTCAAGTCAACCCCAGGAGAACAAACCCGAGATGCTCACCCTCCACTTAACACAGTAAAA